GTTTTTTGTTTTTAAACTATAGTCCGCCCCTCCAACGGTCTGAGGGACAGTGAACTGGCCCCCTGTTTTAAAAGTTTGAGGACCTCTGCAACCCTAAGAATTTCTTCAATGACTTCTGTATATGTGGGAGCGTTATAGGTATGAATTGGTGGCAAAGTGAGAAGTTACTATCATTTAGGCTTTAGGGTGCTTGCTGGCTGACATACATCTAGACTAAGAAATTCTAACCTCTTCAAATAATTTACCCTTTGCACAACTCCATTAAAGTCAATTGAAATTCTCCATAAAATAATATTTATAAGTAGAAAACAGAATCTTGACCCATCAAGACATAAATAAATGTTATAAGTGAAAGTACTTTGCCACACTACTTTGTTTTAAATAACTTGACATATACAACATAGAACCCAAAACAGATATTTCTAAAATTATAAGAGTAATTTGTTATGCCCAGTGGTTAGTACTCTTGTCTTAGTGTGCATACGTAATTTGGACTGGTAGGAATTCAAAATAAAAATATTAAATCATACACTTTTTTGCGTGTCATTTTTTCTATCTCTTTTCCAATTTGTACAGGAACAGTTTGATGGTGGGCCACTTCATCCTAGTAAAGAAATGGAATCATGTTAAATGAGTAGTCTTGAATCAGAAGCAATCAAGAAAAACAAGTTAAATAGGAGAGAGGAAGGAACTACAATATGTAGGCTTCTTACTATCTGCGTTGTATACTTTAATTAGTCCCTTTAACACTCACAATGACCTTATAATATATTTGATACCAGGTAACCGAGGGAAACAAATACTGTGGGTACTCTGCCAAGATGCCCGTTATGGAGGTACAGACGCTTCTCAGCATACGATGGAGTTACATCCCAATAAACCCATTGTAAGTTGAAAGCAACTTCAGTCAGAAATGCATTTAATACACCTAAACTACTGAAATCAGAGCTTAGCCTAACCTGCCTTAAACATGCTCAGAACACTTACATTAGCCCACAGTTGGGCCAAATCATCTAACACAAAGCCTATTTTATAACAAAGTGTTGAATATCTCATGTGATGTGCTGAAAGCTGTACTGAAAGTTGAAAATTGAATGGTTGTGTGGGTACTTGAAGTATGATTTCTACTGCACGCATATCATTTTCACAGCATCGTCAAGTTGAAAAATTTCAAGTGGAACCATCATAAGTCAGGGACCATCAGTACACTCATCTCTCAGATGCTGCAGGGGTCATTGGCTAAGCAGAGCTGTCTTCTCAGGGGACGGGGGCTAGGGAAGAGAGGAGCAGGATGTGACCAATGACTAAATGATGTGGTGCTCTAACAGCCCATTTCCCCTGCCTCCAGGTGGAACAGACTCTGGTGCAATTCATGAATCCGTGAGTTCTCCACAGGATCAGGTAGAGACTAGAGTTCTTCTGAAACTGTATTTTGGCCCAGCTTCTTCCCCAGAGGTCTATCCTGCTTCCCTCAGTCCCCTACAGGATCCTCCTTAGCACTCTCCTTCAATTAGCATACGTTTTAGGCTCTGCTTCTGGGGACCCCGTCCAAGACACATGCTCTAGAAGTTAAATAATTTTCCCAAAGTTACACGGCAAATGGCAAGGCTAAGATCAGAAGCCAGGTTTGTCTAACACCACTTTTTATCATACTCTATGGATTCATGGAAGGTTCAGTTTAAGTCTCAGGAGTCCTATGTCCATGGCAGGGGTTGTAGAAGAGCCACTTCCTGCCTGAAGATAGCACTGGACTTTGGGGGTTGGGGTATCACACATACATGGAGGTTAAACACACCACTGCAGTGGAGCAGGGTGAGCCATTTCTCTGTGGGATCTTGCTCAGTCCTGGGGCAGATCACGTTTTGTGAGGCTGAAACTTGTACAGTTTGGGGAGCCCTCTTTAAGAAAAAGAGTAAAAAATTACAAATGTTAAATTAGGTATAAGACCTTGGAAGAGGTTCATGCAAGTGAGAAGCCTAAAACTTAAGCTTCATTGGGTTCCTGGTAAATCCATCTCTGCTCAGGTCCTATGTTCTGAGTAGCAACAGAGCACATCTTGGTCAAATGCTCTAAGACTCTTGAGGAAAAAGGGGTAAAAATGTATCATAATTATCCTCTAAGCCAGTGAGTCTCAGATGTTGCTATAGTTTTTAGAATAACTTTAGGTTATTTAAATTGTTTTTAGAGTTACTTACATTTTTCAAAATAAAATGAATTTTAATTGATTATCTCCTACAACATAAATAAAGGCCTCTTATCACTTATGGTGATAGGAAATGGAGTGGAGTGGAATCAAACAGATAAGGATAAGGATAAGGTAATACAAATATACACCAGAGGTTAGGACATTTTGTAGCTCTCCAAGAAGGCAATTGTGCTCATGACATTAATTTTTAGTATCAAAAATTGTTTGGTGAGTCAGAAGAGACCTGTTCCCGTGTCAGGTCTCCACATTAGAGTGATACTCCCACACACCCTAAAGTCTTTTGTGAATTCCCAGAGCCTAGGTTTAGTTTAACAGGATCACAAAGCAGAACATTGCAGATTGTGTAACAATAACCGTTTTTTCAAATATACTAGTTAATCTTAATACGTGTGCATTTTTACATTCATGCAGGCACAACATCTATGTTTATGAACTATAAGTAGCACACCTTTAGGACAACCTGATAGTCTAACAATTCTTCTAGTTCCTTCTGCTCCTTTAGTGACTGCTTTTGTTTAGATACCAAATCTTCCCGTAAATTTTTAATTTCTAATTTCTTCTGCATTACTTCCTTACGTAATTCTTCAGTGCTTTCTCTCAATATTTTCATTTTCTTGTCCATTTCCTTTAAAAGTCATGAAGATGATCAGGTTAGTCAGTCTGAGCAAACATTTATCTAAAAACTGAATTAAAAAGAATTTCACTCACCATTTTGATTATATTTGTTTTGAGGTTCATGAATGATTTCTCACAAAGTTAAGTGCAATGTATAACTTTGATATCTTTAATAAAGACATGACCATTATACTATATGTATAATTAAATATTTTACATTATACTTGAATTCTTACTTTTTCTTGTATTCTTTTCTATTTTCCTATATGTTAAATGTTTCCTTTTTCTGAGTTAATTTTTATTTAAAAAGCACCAATAAAAATAATCAGTCTGTTTTCTAGAAGTATTATGATTTGACAAAATCAAATGCAAGTAATCTTTGAATATCTGGCTTATGGTTAACCTGAGTCACAAGAGAACTAAAGATAAGGGAGTTCATATCTGGAATACCCAACTCTTTGTACTCCTAAATCACCCACTTTCTCATTAATATTACTTCTCTATAGTTCATACACATCCTTCCCAAATGCTCTCTACCCCAGACTCAGAACTTTGCTTCTCATGTCTGATTATCTGGGGAGTGTTTGACTTATGAGAGAGAAGACTTTTTATAATCAGAAGCCTGCACGCTACTAGTGACTAAGTGGATGGACCCCTTTAGCTTGCTCTGGGCTTTCTGCCTATCTTTCTCCTTCCACTGCTGCCATTAGTGATTCTATGATACAAAACTAAAATTCAAAATGTTTTTCCCCATAAAAATCTATGTTGTAAATGGTGGTTAGATGTACTTATACAGAATTAATAGTATTTTACTCTATACTAAACAGACTTTTGTGGTTTGGCCTTGGAATTAAGCCACCACCAACACACTTTTGACATATGGTCATTCAGAATGGGGAAGCATGTGAATGTGATGATCTTTCTAATTACCTGCTATAATAGATTATAGAAAATGGCCAGATTCCTCCTATTCCCCAGGGTATGCATGCCCCTTGCAATGTGTCTCAATCATTCTTTCCTTTAAGAGGTAGGGCCTATTTCTCTAACTCTTGGTAAGAGACTTGGCCATATTATTCGCTTTGACCAATGAGAGATCACAAAAAAAATGATTTAAGCAGAAACTCAAGAAGTTCTTGCTTGTTGGGATTTGCCCTCTCTTGAGGTTGGAAACCTTTACCTCATTATGTAACCAACTAGTGATATGTGACCTTAGACCAACTAGCCTGTCAAATGACTAACATAAAAATGGACCCATCTTAGACCACCCAGCCCCAACAGAGCCAGCCCAGACAAGAATAATTCTGGCCTGTCAACTGTGAAAAATATGAAATGGTGTGTGTCAAGCCACTAAGTTTTGGGAAAGTTTGTTATGTGGGAATAGATAAATGACACAGCTTTTTAATAAACATTTCTTGTAATAACTTGAGATGTTTAGAAAGATATGATAGTAATAGCTATCACAAAATAATGTTGTTGTTGTTGTTATTTTTTTGAGTTGGGGGTCTCACTCTGTTGCCCAGGATAGAGTACAGTGGCATGATCACAGCTCACTGCAGCCTCAACCTCCTGGGCTCAGGTGATCCTTCTACCTTACCCTCCAGGTAGCTGGAACTACAGGTGCATGCCACCACACCAGGCTAATTTTTTGATTTTGTTTTTGTAGAGATGAGGGCTCATTATGTTGCCCAGGCTGATCTCAAACTCTTGGGCTCAAGCAACACTCCCACCACGGCCTCCCAATCCCTCCCTATTGGGATTACAAGCATAAGCCTCCACACCTGGCCAAAATAATGTTTTCAAAGTGTCAACCACAGAAACTTTTTTCTTCTGAAAACAAAGCAGATATTGTTCAACTAAACACAGACTAAATTAGATTTCAAATAGCTAAAGACTATAATAGGCACCATTTAAAATTTACTCCAGAAGTTATGTAGACATTCCTTTCAGTATCACTCATAGTTAAGACGTTTCAGTCTTTCAAATGTATCAGGGAATAGTTGTGATAAACTTTAATGTTTGTTAAAAAGGGATGCTTGAATCCAGTTATATTTAACAAACTCTTGATCATCTAAGACTTACTCCTGGCTTAGGTATCTTCTCGAATTCTTTTATTATGAGGTTTTTTTCTTCCATTAAGCTGCAAAAAATTAAAAAATACCAAGTTTAACAAGTACAAAACTATAAGCTCTTTCGGCATTAATGGCTTTCTATTTTTTCCTCTCAGAGTGCCATTCCCATGATTGTCTGTCCATTCTTGATGATGGTTTTCCTGACTCCCAAATGTCCCTTTAGGTTCTTCCTCTTTCTCAGCACTCCCAGAACACTGAGTACATGCACCCATTAGAGCAGTTATTTCAGTACAGTATAAGTGTTCGGGGAACACGGACTTCCCCTCAGGACTGAGGCTTCTTCCAGGCAGGCAATGGGCTTCTTTTTCTTCTTTATATTACTTGCAATGGGCTAGTGCCACTGACCTTCTGCCTTGCCTGCTTCCACTCTTGCCCATTAAAGTCAATCTCCACCCAGCACATGGTGATTTTCAACAATGTAAGCAAGGTCACATCACTTCTCTGCTGGGTAAAGTCCCATCACACCTGGATAAACATATAAGTCTACATGGCCCTGCATAATTTGCCTCTCTAGCCTCACTGCCTGCTGGCTCACTGCTCACACTGGCTCACCCTCACTGCTCTCTGGCTCCAGCCACATTGGCCAGCTTGCCAAGCTTGTCCCTACCTCAGGGCTTTTGCCCTTTCTGTTGTTTCTGTTCCAAGGCCTTTGCTCATCCCTCCAACTGGCAAGCTTTTTCCACATGTCTTTGCTTAGCTCACTCCTTACTTCATGTATCTTTACTGCTTGTTACCTTTTCATAGAGGCGCCTGACCAACCATCCTATCTAAAATAGCACCAATATTCATCACCACTCTTTCCTTGTTCTGCTTTACTTTTCTCTGTAGTATTCATCACTACTTGACATTATATTACATATTTGTTTATTTCCTCACTGAGGGCAGGGACTGTGTTCTGTTTACCACTGCATTATCATTGCTTTAAAAAGTGCTTGCATATAGTTGGCATAAGTTCAAGGTAAAGGGATGGAAAAAGATCTATTATGCAAATAGAAAAAAAAAAGAATAGGGGTTGCTAATCTTATATCAGATAAAATAGACTTTAAACCAATACAATTTAAAAAAGGACAATGAAGGGTACTTCATAATGATAAAGGGTTCACTTCAACAACAACAAAATATCTATTTTTAATATATACACACCCAACATAGGAACCCCGGGTTTATAAAACTACTTAACCTAAGAGAGGACATAGACAGCTCATATAGATAGCTACACTATAATGGTGGGGAACTTCAACACCCTACTAACAGCTTTAGACAGATAGTTGAGGCAGAATACTAATAAAGAAATCCTGAACTTAAATTTGATAGTTGACCAATTAGACCTAATGGACACTGACAGAACAATTCACCCAACAACTACAGAACACACATTCTTCTCATCCACACAAGGATCATACTCTAAGATTGACCACATAGTCATAAATCAAGCTTGAATAAATTTCAAAAAATCAAAAGCATGCCAAGCATCTTCTCTGACCACAGCAGAATAAAACTAAAAATCAACACCAAGAGGAATCCTTAAAAACATACAAATACATGAGAATTAAACAACTGATCCTGAACAATTTTTGGGTAAGCAATAAAGTCAAGACAGAAATAAAAGATTCTTTGAAACAAATGAAAATAATGACACAACTTACCAAAAACTTCTGAGATGCTGTTAAAACAGTGCTGAGAGGACAATTTATTGCACTTTATTCCTATATCATGAAAACAGAAATAATCCAGTAAACAATCTAACATCTCACCTGAGGGACCTAGAAAAACAGGAACAAACTAAGATCAAAACTAGAAGAAAAGAAATAGCTAAAATCAGAGCAGAAATAAATGAAATTGAGACAAAACAACACCAAAAAAACCATACAAGCGATCAATAAACAACAAAGCTGGTTCTTTGAAAGGATAAGCAAGTTGACAAACCCCTTACCAGATTAACAAACAACAAGGAACAAATAAAGACAGAGAGACCAAATAATACAGTCAGAAAGGATTACCAGATATTATTATAAACATCTGCATGCATGAAAGTTAAAAAATCGAGGAAATGAATAAATTCCTGGAAACACATAACCTCCCAAGATAGAAACAGGAAGAAATTGAAACCCTGAATAGACCAATAATGAGTCATGGAGCTGAATCAGTATAAAAATCTATCTACCAAAAAAAGTCATGGACCTCATGGGTTCATAGCTGAATTCTACCAGACATACAAGAAAGCACTACTAAAATTATCTGAAATAATTGAGAAGTAGAGACTCTTTCCTAACTCATTCTATAAAGCCAAAATCATCCTAATACCAAAAATATGTCAAAGACAAAACAAAGAAAGAAAACTATAGTTGATATCCCTGATGAACATAAATGCAAAAATCCTCAGCAAAATACTAGCAAATTGCATCCAGCATCACCTTAAAAAAAATTATTCATCACATTAAAAAAATTATTCATCTTGATCAGGTGGTTTTATTCCCAGGATGCAAGGCTGATTCAACATATGCAAATCAGTAAATGTAATTCAACGTAAAACCAGAAGTAAAAACAAGAACCGCATGTTTATCTCAATAAATGCAGGGAAAAAGAAATCTGATAAAATCCATGATAAAAACTGTCAATTATCTAGACATCAGAGGAACATTCCTCAAAATAGTAAGAGTCATCTATGACAGCCAACATCATACTTAATGGGCAGAAGTTGGAAGCATTCCTCTTATGAGCTGGAACAAGACAAGGTTTCCCATTCTCACCACTCCTAGTCAGTGTAGTATTGGAAGTCCTAGCCAGAGGAAGAAATAAAAATTATCCAAATAGGAAAAAGAGGAAGTTAAATTATTGCTTCTTCACAGATGATCTGATTTAATATTTAGAAAATCCTAAAAATTTCACCAAAAGACTACTAGCACTCATAAATAAATTCAGTGAAGTCTTAGGATGCAAAATCAACACTCAAAAGTTAGTTGCATTTCTATACACTAACAACATTCAAACTGAAAACCAAATCAAGAACACAATCTCATTGACAATATCTGCCAAAACAAACAAAAAAACTCAAAAAAGACAAGTACCTCAGAATTCATTTAACCAAAGAGATAAAATATCTCTAGTGAGAACTACAAAACACTGCTTAAGGAAATAAAGGATGACACAAACAAATGAAAAAACATTCCATGCTCATGTATAGGCAAAACCAGTATTTTCAAAATGTCCATACTGCCTAAAGCAGTCTACAGATTCAACACAATCCCTATTAAATTACCAACATCATTTTTCACAAGTCTAGAAAAAAGAATACTTAAATTCATATGGAGGAAAAAACAAACAAACAAACAAAAATGCCCAAATAACCAAAACAATACTCAGCAAAAAGAACAAAGCTGGAGGCATCACATTGCCAGACTTTAAACTATATTACAAGGACACAGTAACCAAAACAGCACAAAAATAGACACATAGACCAAGAGAACATAATAGAGAACGGAGAAGTAAAAGTGCTATCTTATAACCATCTCATTTTTTACAAAGTTGACAGAAACATTGGGGAAAGTATACCCTATTCAATAAATGGGACTGACCAAAACTGGCTAACCATATGCAGAAGAATGAAGTTGGACCTCTTCCTCTCACCACATACAAAAATTAACTCAAGCTGGACTAATGACTTAAACATAAGACTTCAAACTATAAATTCCCAGAAGAAAGTCTAGGACACATTCTTCTGGACATTGGCTTATACAATGAATTAATAAACAAGACCTCAAAAGCAAAAGCAGCAAAACCCAAAATTTATGTGTGACCTAATCAAACTAAAGAGCTTCTGCACAGCAAAAGAACCCAGGAACAGAGTAAATAGACAACCTACAGAATGGGAGAAAATAGTTTCAAACTCTGCATCCCAAAACAGGCTAATATCTAGAATTTATAAGGAACTTAAATCAAGAGGAAAAAAAACAAATAACCCTTTATAAAGTGGTTGAACAAAGGATATGAACAGATACTTTGCAAAGGAAGACATGCAAACTGCCTACAAACATATGGAAAAATGCTCATCATCACTAGTCATCAGAGAAATGCAAATCAAAACACAATGGAATACCATCTCACACTAGTCAGAACTGTATTATTAAAAAAGTAAAACCAAAAACCAAAAATCCAAAAAACAGATCTTGGCAACAATGTGGAGAAAAGAGAATGCTCATTCCCAATGGTGAGAATGTAAGCTAGTGTAGCCTCTGTGGAAAGCTGTTTGGAAACTCCTCAAAGAACTAAAAATAGATTTACCATTCAAGTCAGCAATCCCACTACTAGGTATACACCCAAAGGAGCATAAACTGTTCTACCAAAAAGACACCTGCACTTGTCCACAACAGCAAAAACATGGAACCAACCTAGGTACCCAGCAATGGTGAACCAGATAAGAAAAATGTGGTACATGTACACTATGGGATACTATGCAGACAGAAAAAAAATGAAAACATGTCCTTTGCCGCAACATGGATGGAGCTGGAGACCATAATTCTAAGCAAGTTATCACAAACAGAAAAGTGAGCACTGCATGTTCTTGTTTGTAAGTGGGCGCTAAACACTGGGTAAACACAGGAGTAAGGATGGAGACAACAGACACTGGGAGTTCCTAACCGGGGGAAGGAGTAACTGGAGTAAAGACTGAAAAACAGCCCATTGGCTACCATGCTCACCACCAACAGAAGCCCAAACCTCACCATCATGCAACATGCCTATGCACCAAACTAGCACGTGTACCCCTTGAATCTAAAATAAGATAATTTAAAAATCAAAAATATGTATAGGAATAAATGAAAGGACTAAAATTAATTTCATTCCCACTTTTATTATTTTGAAGTAAATTTATATGCTAAATGAGATAAGAGCATGCATATGGAAATATATCTTCCCTCGTTTAACTTATTGCATCACCTTCTTCTACATCCAGATTGGAGGAGAACTTCATGGAAATCATAGATGGGAAGGCTCCACCGTTGTTTAAAGG